GTCTGGGTTGGCCCAGAGAAAGCCATTTCCAAACCGAATTCATGGTCTGTAGTGACACTACAGCTGTCACCCCCTGTGAGCTGAGGAGGAGGCAACAGGGTAGCCTCCTTGAGTTTGAAAAGAACTGTCTCTTTTGATTCGTTTTGTTTTGTTTGCTTAAAGATGAACAAGACTGCTCTGAGGAGCTCTCACAGTAGGCTCCAGGGGGCAGGACTTCTTATCCAGAGCTTCAGTGGTTCGTGTCTGGCACACAGTAGGCTCCTGGTGAACAGTTCTTGACTTTGTAAATCAGTTTTCCAATTGGGTGAGAGGTTTTTAAAAAAATTTATTCTTTATTGTTGAAAGTATTACAGATGTCCCCCCCCCCATTGACATCCCCCTCCCTGTTCCTGTCCCCCCCCTGCCTTCACCACACTGTTGTCTGTGTCCATGGGTTATGCCTATATGTATATAAGTTCTTTGGTTTATCTCTTCCATTCCCTCCCACCCCCCTTCCCTCTGGGGTTTGTCAGTCTGTTCCCTGCTTCCATGTCTCTGGTCTGTTTTGTTCATCAGTTTATTTTGTTCATTATGTTCCACCAATAAGTGAGATCATGTGGTACTTGTCTTTCTCTGACTGGCTTGTTGTGCTTAGGATAATACTGTCCAGGTCCCTCCATGTCGTCTCACAGGATAAGAGATCTTTCTTTCTTACAGCTGCATAGTACTCCATTGTGTATACGTACCACCACTTTTTTATCCACTCATCTACTGATGGGTAGTTGGGTTGTTTCCAGATCTTAGCTATTGTAAATAGTGCTGCTGTGAACATGGGGTGCATATATTCTTTTGGGCCAGAGTTGTTTTTTGCAGTGTTACTCTGTAATAAAGAAAGGCAGTGGGAATTAGTGGTTAGAAGCATGGCTCTGGAGCCAGGGCATGGATATCAATCCCAGCGTGGACATAGATATGCTGTTTAGTTTGGAGAAGTTGCCTAACTCCTCTGGGCTTTAGTTTTCATCTGTAAAATGAAGATAATACCCTACTTCAGAGGGTTATTGTGAAGATTAAATTGTTAGCATGTCATAAATGATATATAATAATCAGCTCTTATTATTATTTATTTTTCTTTTTTGGTTAATTCTCACCTGAGGATATTTTTTCATTCATTTTTTAGATAGACTGGAAGGGAGGGAGGGAGAGAGAGAGAAAAAAACATTGATGTGAGAGAGACATATCAATTGGTTGCCTCCCACATGACCCCGACCAGGGCCAGGGAAACCTGCAACCCAGGTACATGCCCTTGACTGGAATCGAACCTGTGACCCTTTGGTCTTTGGGCTGACACTCTTCACCTGAGGGCATTTTTCCATTTTTTGTTCAGATAGAGTGGGAGGGAGAGAGAGGAAGAGAGAGAAAGAAACATCGACGTGAAAGGGACACATCGAGTGGCTGCCACCCGCACGACCAACCAGGGCTGGGGACAAACTGCAACCGAGGTACGTGCCTTTAGCGGGAACCAAACCCGGGTCTCTCTGGACCGCAGGCCGATGCTCTAACCGCTGAGCCAAACCGGCCAGGGCCGGGCTGACACTCTTAACTGCTGAGCCAAACCGGCCAGGACTCAGCTGTTATTATTATTACTCCTCAGCCTCAGGTCTGCTACTAGACCCCTGTGACTAAGGATACATCCTTTGGTTTTCCCAGGTGTTGGAAGGTGCAGATAATTTCTACCCTGTGTGACCGTGACAACAAAGGACATGCTGTCCCTCGGCTCCTGCTGATTCACCTGGCCAAACAACCTAAAAAATAGGTCTTAAAAATCAGGGTGTTACTTCATGGACGTAGCCCTGACTTCCACGGACAAGGAGAGTGGTGTGACCACAGCAGCGCCTTAACCTGCTCTGGCCGGCCTTGCGCCTGAGGACCCTGGTCCTGCCGTCTGGCCTGGCTTCTGCTGCTCACCAGGGAGGAGGACAGAGCCAGGTCTGGCTGCATTCCAGGTGGCGGGCAGAGTAGATGGCTCTGAGGAAGCCATACTGAGGGAGGAAGAGAGCCCAGCTTGGCTGCTTGCCTGCGCAGGAGGCTTTGGCCAGGGCTTTGTGGGCCTGCACGTTCAGCTGGACGTTTGGGCCTCCAGCTCTCCCTGGTGCACATCCAGTTGCAGGCTGCGAGGGCTGTAGTGGCAGAGGTGCCCAGGGTCGGGGTGGGAGAGACACACCTCTCAGACTCAGAGGTAACGTAGGTTCTGAGGTGGAGCTGGGGCAGGAAGCTGTGCCCACTGCTGCCCACCGTGTACTTCAGGTGGCAGAGGGAGAGCTCAGGGCACGGGGGTGGAGCAGAGGCCCAGGGATCCCCCGGGGTGGCAGGAGCCTGGGAGGCCAGGCCTGCCACATCGCACCAGCTGTTCTGAGGTAATGCCACGTGGGAAATGCCACCCACGGCAGGAATGGATTCATCACACAAAGACTCGAGTGCCCCAGCACTGTGCTGGATACTGGGGACATGTTCACAGGCAGAACAGACACTATCCTTGTCGTGGTGGGACTCCGAGTTGGGGCTTCCATTGTTAGTCAAAGCACACGGTCAGAGCATCACCATAAACTGTTAAGAGCCATGAAGGAGAAGTGGGGTGGGAGAAGTTGTTCTAGGAGGACGAGCCTCACCTGTGAGTCAGGGGGCGCCTCCCGGAGATGCCAAGCTGAGGTCTGCAGTGGGGGTGGGAGAGATGGGGTGGGTTGGGGAGGAGCAGTGTGTCCAGAGGCCTGGAGGGGGAACAAATGTGTCCCCTCCGGGAGAAACGCAGGTCAGTGCCTGACCAGCAGCAAGCAAGGAGGGGACAGAGCAGTAAATGCTGAGGCAAGATGGGGGGCCCGGGTCAGATTTTGACAGGCCACAAAACCATGTGAAGGTCCCCAAGGGCAGTGGGACAGACTCACGGGTTTCCAGCAGGGTGGCCTGGGGGAGTGGAGGCTGGGGAGCCCGTGTCCCTCCTGCTATCCTGACAGCTCCTCCCTCCTCTGAGGGGTCCTGGGAGGTGGTGGGCTTCCTTTGGATGAGACTCTGCATTATCGATCTTCATCCTGGAACACTAGCTCTGTCATGCAACACTCTCAGGACATTTCCTTCTGGGCTTTGGGCAAGACTCGGGTTGAACCTGTGGGTGTGGGGGTTCAGGGTCTCTGACGAGAGATGCACAGTCCATCCCGACAAAACCCTCAGCCGCTCCCCCCCGGAGCTGAGCAGCCAGGTGTGGGGGCGGGGCAGGGGCTGGTTTCACAGCTGGGAGGCAGCCTGTATGAATGGACAGGCTTGGGCTCTCTTGGATTTGTCCAGTAGGGGGGTGTTTCCAGTACTCCCTTGACGGAAATGGCACTGCCTCTGGACCTCCCTCTGCTCTTCTGGGAAAGGGTCAGCAAGTTCTCATCTTTTTGCTTCACACAAAGGGCCTGCAGATACACCTGAAATGGGTTGTGTTCACACCTTGCCTGAACCCTGAGAGCTTCGTGTGATTGTTCAGTGAACTAGCTCCACTGACGGCCAGATGTGTGCTCATGACATTGCCTTGTGGGATATCCATTCCCTCACCCCATACTGAGGAAGAGCCTTCAGTGTGCCCAGAGCTCTGCTGTAGGGGATGGATGAGAGAAGACCCAGCTCGCAAGGCCCATGGATTGTATGGCCCAATTACTGTTTTCCAACTGCATCCTATAGTTGTTAACAGTGGTTCACTGATTAATGGGTTCATGGTTGAATAACTTTGGGAACTGCATCATCATAAATGTCTCTTGATCTGGTTATCTATTGCTATGTGACAAACTACCACAAAACTTAATGGCTCCAAAGAACTATTTATTATTATCTCTCACAGTTCTGTGGGTTGACTGGACTCAGACTTGGGGTCTCTCACACAGTTATTTCCTTCCATCTCAGTTAGTTGCAATCAGATGATGGCGGGGGGTAGACTCATCTGAAGGTTGCTTTACTTACATGTCTCCATGCCTGGGTTGTCTGGGGATTGCTCCCCGCACATGGTTTCTCCACATGCTAGCTTGGGCTTCCTCACAGCATGGCAGTCTCAGGGTGGTAAGGCTTCTCACATGACTGCTGGTTTCCGCCAGAGAGAGTGTTGCAAGAGACCTGGGAGGAAGCTGTAAGGCTTTACGTGAACTTGCTCAGAAATCCCAAAACATCGATGCCTCAGCAGTTTATTGAGTAGACAACTTAGTGAGGCCGGTCCAGATTCAAGGGGAGGGAATTAGATTCCACAACTCAATGGGAAGAGTAGCAAATCATTTGCAGCTATATTTAATTTACAGTATCTCTTGGAGATTCTATCCAAGGTGTCTGAGAAGTCCTTCAGTAAAGAAAGCTGTTTAACTCAGCATTTTCCAAGCTGATCATTAGTGTTATGCTTAAAATCAGGAACTCCCTTTCTCATAAAAAAACAAAACAAAACAAAACATCACTTAACTTGGTTTCTGCCACAGAGCAGTGGGCCGAAATGAAAGGGTAAAAATTTGGGGCTCAGTATTACTTTCTAATAAATAAAACTTTCCAAAGATGGATTTAGAGATTGCTAGGGAGCTCCTAATTTGGGGAAGTACCAAAAGAGAGGACTCGGGACCACCTGCCTGGGTGGAAAGGCTGAATGGCCTAGTGGTGAAAGCTTGGACTTGACTTCTGGCCAGTCTTGGTTCAGAGTCACCACTTACAGCTATGTAACACTGGGCAAGTCACCCCTCTCTAAGCTTCGGTTTCCTTATCTACAAAACACATGGCTTCTATTTCACAGGGTTGTTGTGAGGATTAATGAGATAGATCCTGCATGCGAAATCCTCGGTACAAGTGCCTTCCTTGGTGAGACTTTGTGGCCGCTCAGTTCTTTTCCGCGACTAGGGTTTAATAACTTTGGGTTTATTCTGGGCTTGCTCAAGCAAACCAATTATCGTAAGTCATGGGCTCACCCCTCATTTTCTTGCAGGAGTAACCTCTGTACCCTTTTACTGTTTCCAATCTAGTTTCTCATAAGTGACCGTGACCCTCAGTGCAACCTCCACTGCTCCAGGACTCAGCCCAAACCCATCTGTGCCTCCGACGGCAGGTCCTACGAGTCCATGTGTGAGTACCAGCGAGCCAAGTGCAGAGACCCGGCCCTGGGTGTGGTCCATCGAGGCAGATGCAAAGGTGAGTGTGTGCCTCTCGGCATGATGCACGCCCTGTAAGGGGAGCACAGTGCAGAAGTGCAGAATGAGTCTGTTTATTTGGTTTGCTATCCTGTCCCTTTACCCTTTCTGCCAGGGCCTCCGAGGAGAACTGGTCTACCTGAAGGAATGAGCACTTTCCTGTCTTTCAAACACTGTCACCAGGCTCGGGCTTAGAGAGATGTGCTGCTGTGTGGCTAGTGCTATTTATTTTTATTTTATAAATGGAGATGCTTAAATTGGCAAGGCATTATTGCTGGCTTCTGAGTAGGGGTTCCAAATGGTTGGTCAAGAGATGTGTTTTTTTGTTGTTTTTGGTCAGCTCACATGTTTAAAAATATTAAAAACATTTGAGACAACATTTAAAAATTAGGAGAGTCAACATAAAAATCTGGATTTTTGTACTTCTCATAAAAAATTGGAAGCTCTGGGAATATCAGGTCTGTGCTCCCTCCCACAAGGCAATGCGTGGCTAGAGCAGAGTAGCAGCCTCCCCCTTTAAAGGGGGACCTGCTCTCCAGTCTGTCACAGTCCTCAGCACACCCTGTGGTGTCTCCAAGCTGAAATCTTCTCTAATTATGTCACTTTCCTACACCCCGTAGATGTTTGAATTTTGACTCTGGACTGCTTAGGGTCATTATAGGAATGGTGGGAGGCTGAGCTGGCCACTCTGGAGCCTCTGATTTTCCAAAGACAGTGCTTGCCATTCTTGAACTGGAAAACATCTCTGAGGCCCGTGGGCTTGCATGTTTCAGAATAAACCCAGTGAAAAATAATAGAGGTGGAACATTTTTTCCCCCTGGGAGTGGTGGGGGTAACTGGGAGAAAAAAATAAGTAGAACGAGGTATAAATACAACCCCCCACTTTTCTAAGATTGTCACTGACGGGGAAGGCGAGCTGGTGCCCTCCCTGGCCCCTGCCTGCGTCCTCAGATGAGCCGGGCTTGTGTGTGGGCTCCCGGGCGGGCGCGCTCCCTCTGCTCCTAGAACCGGGCAGCCGCCTGGTTCCGTGGCGCCTGTGTGGGATCCCAGTGAAGGATGAAACATACTCGCTCCTCTCCTCTTTTAGACGCTGGCCAGAGCAAGTGTCGCCTGGAGCGGGCTCAGGCCCTAGAGCAAGCCAAGAAGCCCCAGGAGGCAGTGTTTGTCCCGGAGTGCAGCGAGGATGGCTCCTTTACCCAGGTGAGGCCGTGGCCGTCTCCCAGGCCCCTTTCCTGGACTGAGCGACGGAGGAGCCTGCGGCTGGAGGGTGCAGCCCCGGCTTTCTGGGAAACAGCTGAGGGCTCTTTGACACCCTCTGTGCTACCTTCTGGTGCCTACCTTCCCCCTCCCGGACCCTCCTCGCTGCCCCTCGCCAGCTGGCAGTGGGTCCCGAGAAGGCGCATGGGAGTCCGAGCCAGGAAACTGGCATTGCTTGGTCCCCGTCCTCCCTGCTGGCCCTCTCCATTTTTCTCTTCTGTCAAATGTAGGCTGATTATATTTTCTTATTCTTGCCAGTTTCCATGGGCAACCCTGGTATTCCCTTCACTGTTTATTGCTACCCCTCTGTGCTCCCCGTCTGCCAACCCCAAGTCCTCCAAGGAAGCAGTTATCCCTTGGAGGACCAAGTGTGGTTCTTGGAGTGTGTGTGGTGTGTGTGTGTGTGTGTGAGTGTGGTGTATGGTGTATGGTGTCTGTGTGCGTGCGTGCATGCATGCACACTCACGTGTCTGTGTGCACACAGATTTTAGAATTTCAGGCCGTCTCACCTCTCATCCTGCTGTGGCCAGAGCTCTGTGTAAAAGTAATGCTGGCTGTGTTGATGCTGGCACAGACTGTTTCTAAAACAGGCCGCATGGGACAATAGGGACAGTAGGTTACTCCTTCGTAAGCTTTTAGGCTGCAGGTGGGACACAGCCTGGGTTGGGGGCGCGGGAGGTGGCTGGATGAGGCACTGTCTGATGAAAGTGGGGGAAGGTCACTGGACAAGGGTGAGCCAGCTGCATGGTTGGGGATGGTCCCAGTGCCTCCGTTCCCTCTGTGAAGAGAGCCGAGTTGGATGGAAGCAAAGCCTTCAGAGGTTTCTGAGCTTCCCTGCAATTCTGAGTCAATGGGGCAAGGGTGTGGGCTGGCCTCTGGTCCCATGGGTCTCAGGTTTCCTTTGGGGTCTGAGCCCAGGGGATTGCGGACTTCAGACTGACCGCCTGCTTTGAGGAAATGTGGAGGGTGGTGGGAAAGCGATCAGGCCTCATGTTTTAAAAGTTCCCAGCTGATTCAAATGTTCATCCAGGACTGAGGGCCACTGCATTTAATTGACCTTGGCTCATTTTCTCACTGGAGCCTCAACCCGGGCCTGTGAGGTAGGTGCTGTCATCCCCACTTACAGAAGATGCAGCCACAGCAGAATGCAGAAGGACAGAGCCGAGATGCAGACTCAGCTCCCTCTGGCTCCAGAGGCCATACTCTGCTGTTCTCTGAACTGGCAGCTTTAAAGGAGACTCTGGACTGGCAGAAGACAGGCTAGTGCTGTGGTCAGTGCACCGATCCTGGGGCCAGACTGCCTGAGTGTGACTCCCAGTCCCCACCCCTCAGGCAAGTCACTGAATGTCTCTGGGTCATAGTATCCTTATTACCCATACTTACTATTATTATTATTATTATAGTATATATATTATGATGTTACTATTATCGTTACTATAGCTTACCTCATAAAATTTGATGAAGGTTAAATGAGTGAACTCATGTCAAACACTTGAGGACGTAAACCGCTATATAAATATCTGTCTTTATCATCATCATTATCCCCATGTCTGCTCTAGTTCTGCCATTCACATCTTCCCTAGATTTTATGAACGATGCCACTTAAGGAAAATAAAACCTTTTGTTCAACCTCTCCAAATTTGAAAATTGATGAGCTCTTTTTTACAGTATTGAGTCTAGTGGAAAGAATGCAGTGATCGTTGTATATGGGGGAGAAGAGCAGACCTCTCTCAGCTGGGTTTGGGCTGAGACGGGGTAAGGGTCATAGGGAGGAGGCAAAGTCATTTTCCCCCCTTTCTCTAGGCTTGTGTAATCTTGAGTGTGTTGATTATGAGAGCGGTTGACCCCTGCCCTCCTGGTTCTGAAGTGTTTGCCGCCTCGTGACAGACAGCTGCTGGCCAGCCTTTGTTTGGGCGAGGCCAGGCCGGACCAGGTGGTGTTTGCCGGGGAGAGGAACTTCCAGATTAGTCAGGGCAGAATTGCTAAGTGAGAGGCCCCTGAAGTTCAGCAAAGGTTGGATGGATAGTCAGGAGCCCCTCATTTGTTTGCTACAGTAAGCACTGCCATGTGTCTGCGGGCTCAAGGCTGGTCGCCCCGGTGGGCAGCCAGGCGGCCAGACAGCCGGCCAGGCCCCGTAACAGTGATTGAAATGGATGTGCTTTTCCCCTTGATCAAAGAGACTGCAGTAACTTCACAGAATGAGGCTGCCTCTTTGAGTGTGCTTCATTCACACTGACAGGCTGCCAAAAGGCGAGGGGACAAATGCATTTCTCCCTCCCCCAACTTCCACCGTCACTGAGCTGGACTTTTTGTTTTGTAAGACCAAAACCTAGAGATCAGCTATGTTGCTTCACTGTTCCTTATTGATATGCACATATCTTGGTGCTAATAACATATGTTAGCCCTATGAATTATGACAGGAGCACACTCTTGAAATTTATGGAGGGCATGAAGGGACCTGAATGGGACTAGGTTTGTCTGGCATGGGACACAGTTTGGCTTTAATGGGGTTCATGTGGGTCAAATGATCTCTGTTCTCTTCTTTGTTTTCCCTTGTCCTCTTGCTCCATACCCCGCTACCCCAATTCATACAGCAGAGTGGTTGGTGCACATTGGGTCGCATTTGATTTTTAAAACCTTGATATCTACTTAGTCCACATCCCAGATCATTACGTCAAATTCTGGGAGTGGGACCCAGACATTGTATTAATTCAAGCTCCCCAGGTGATGCCAATGTTTGGTCAATCTGCAGTGGCCCACCGTTGTCAGAGCTTCCGCACCCTCGTTCTTCATTGCACCATTGGAACATGGAGCCCGTGCTCTTTGGTGACCCGTTGAGGAAGGTCAGGGGCTATGGTCTTTGTCCCCTGCCATGGCCTTATCGGTGTTCTCTTCTGGGTATCAGGAACGTGACTCCTGACATCTGTTCCACCAAGTTCTTTGCCAAGCAGTTGCCCCGTGCCCGAGCTGATTTGCAGAAATCACAGCTGTAGTGGAAAGGTATTGGATCACCACTGCCAAGAAATGCTGGCTGCAGCTTGTCAGGCTTGTGCATCGCTGGACAGTAATGATGGCAACTCTTTATTGAGAGCTAAGCACTGAGTTTTACACCCATTAATCCTGACCACGACCTTTCGAGGTATCTATTAATACCCTTATTTATAACTGAAACCTGAGCTCCAGAGGGGTTAAATAACTGGTTCAAGGTCACTAACCTAGAAAGGATTTGTGTCCAGCCTGCCTGGTTTCAAGGCCCATGCTCTTAAATTCCGTATTCTACAGAAGGGTCCTTGATGTAACTGTAATTCATGTTCATCACCATGTTATTCTAGAAGTCCCCTCTCTGATGCTGTTGACCAATCAGTCAAGCAGACATTAAAAAAATTCTTTGGATTGTGGAAATTTTCAAATATACAAAAAAGCAGAAATACAAGTATAATGAATGCCATGTACCCATCATCCAGCTTCAACAATGATTGATATGTGGCTGATTCTGTTTCATCTTACCCCATTTTTGTCTTCCACCCCAAACTGGATTGCTTCAAAGCAAATCCCAGACACAATATTTTTTCATCTCAGACAATTTGGAGCTTTGCTATGTTCTGGGCTCTGTGCTGGTTGCTATGGGGAATTTGAGAAATGTCCTGACCTGTGCTTTCAAGGAGCTCACTCACAGAAAAGATATGAGAACATCTGATGAAGTAGTCAGTATATAAGATCATACGTGTACAACTGGTTGTATTTCAGATGCCCATCTAAAAGTCAGTGATGTAGAATCCTGAATGTATTTTATCGTTGAGAAAAAATATACAAATTAAAACTTTTTGAACATAGAAGAAACATCTTAAAAGGCAAATGACATACATTAGCCTTAATAACAAAGGGCGAATATTGTATAAAGAACTCTCACAAACCAGAAAGAAAAACATTCTGGTAGAAAAGTGGGCAAGAGATGCCAACAAGCAGGTTACTCACTAACAAATAGCCAGTAAGTGAATGTGAATGATGTCATTTTCCTTAGTAATTAAAGAAATACAAATAAAACTAATGATGTGTCACTTTGCTTGCCAAATTGGTAAAAATTGGAATAGTCAGGCTTGAGCGAAGGGCAAAAGGTGGCCCTCACATTGCAGTAGAGGAAGTAAATTGGCACTGACTTTTTATGGGATGATTTTGCAATATGGGTCAAAACTTTTTAATTGTGCCCACGTCTTGAGCCTGAAATTCTATTTCAAGGAATTTATTCTAAAGACATAATTAAAAATATGTGCAAATATTTAGCCACAAGGATTTCCATCTAAGTGTTGCTTGTAGTAGCAAAAATTTGGAAACCACCGAAATATCCAATAGGAGAGAATTACTTAAACAAGTTATGACATAGCCACACTGTGCAACTTGTAAAATGGTGTGTTGTACAGGTTTATTTTATATATGTATGTCTGTTAGGGACTAAATCAAATAATTAAAAAGAGAACTACTTTCACTTTTTTTTCCTCAATAGAAAAGTTATATACACTTTGTAAAAAAAATTCTGACAATACAGAAATACATACGGTAGGAAGGTAAAGCCAGTGATTTTGTCTTCCTGAAATAGGAACAATTAAGTCTATAACCCTCTAGATTTATTTTCTTTGTGTGTACTTATTATTTACTTATTATTTAGGAAAGAAATGGTATAATATCATATGTAATTTTATAACACTTTATTAAACTAATTATATTGTGGACTTCTTTCTAGGTTAATTACATGTAGCTCTACCTCATTTTTTATTTTTATTTTTTACCCTCACCCAAGAACATTTTTGCATTTATCTTCAGATAGAGCAGGAGGGAGAGAAGGAGGAAGAGAGAGAGAAAAACATTGATGTAAGAGACACACATCGACTGGCTGCCGCCCACACGACCCCAACTGGGGGCAAACTACACCCGAGGTACGTGCCCTT